GGGTCTGAGGGAGGAGGGGCTGGGGACCAGAACTCCTGGGTCTGAGGGAGGAGGGGCTGGGGGCCTGATTCCTGGGTCTGAGGGAGGAGGGGCTGGGGGCCTACACTTGCATCCTGGGCGGTCTGGGCCCTGACCTCTGGGACCCCTGACGGCTCTCGCTCTCCCAGGGTGTGACTCTCACCGACCTGAAGGAAGCAGAAAAGGCAGCAGGGAAGACCCCAGAGCCAGAGAAATCGTGCCTGGTGAGAGGGGTCAGGTGACCAGGTGGTGGGTGGTCCAAGATGCCCTTGCCCTCTGACCTCCCTGCCCTTCTCGGACAGGACCCCTCTCGGAGGCCCCGAGTCCCGGGGGTGGAGAACTCTGATGGCCCTGCCTTGAGAGGTGAGGTCTGGTTTCTGGGAGGTCGACCTCCTGCCCCCTGGCCTCCCCATCTCTCCCACTGCAGTGTGTTTTCCCGAGGGGTCGGGCCTAGGGACCCTGACACCGCAGAGAGGGGCCGCTCCCCAGGTTTCTGGGCTGATTCCTGCCCCTCCCCCCCAGCAGAGGCGCCTGACGGGCAGGGTCAGGGACCACAGGCCGCCAGGGAGCACCGCAAAGTCGGCAAAGAGTGGAGGGGGCCTGCGGAGGTGAGGGGCGGGGCGAGCTGGGCTGCGGGTGGGCCTTGGAGGTAGGGTGGTGGGCCAGACTCCCTTCCTGGCATCAGGCTGAACCCCACCTCCGCCCGCAGGGGGAGGAGGCGGAGCCGGCCGACCGCAGCCCAGAGTCCAGGTACAGGGTGGGCAGGGAAGGGTCTGGGCTCTTCTGTAGGGCCACAGGGAGCCCCACTGACGCCCTGCCTGCCTCCGCCCCAGCACTTCCGAGGGCGGCCCTTCACCTCGCAGTCAGCGGCAGCGTGACTCCCAGCCAGAATCAGACGAGCCCGATGGAGGCTTCAGGAAGGTTTGCGACACCACCCACCCTCGCTCTGCCCCTGCGGTCGTCCTTTATCCACCTGCCCTGCAGCTCCCTTCCCCACGTGGGCCGGCAGGACTGACCCGCGCTCCCTGTCCGGTTCCCCCCAGCTGTACGCAGGGCTGCGCAGCGAGAACGAGCGGCTGCGCGAGGCCCTGACTGAGACCACGCTCCGCCTGGCGCAGCTCAAGGTGGAGCTGGAGCGTGCCACGCAGGTGAGATGCCTGGACCTGGGAGCCGGGTCGCGGTGGCCCGGATGGGCCTGCTCCGGGAGGCGGGGCCGGCTGGGAGGCTGGACTGCTGCCCCCTTCCCAGGCTGGGGTCCCAGTCCTGGTCTTTGTGGCTTGGCCACTTCTCTGAGCCTTAGGCTCTCTTGTCTCCAGAGGCAGGAGCGCTTTGCAGAGAGGCCCGCCCTCCTGGAGCTGGAGAGATTCGTGAGTAGGGGCAGCTGGGGTGGGGCCATGTGGGTCTGAAGAGGGTTCTCTGCCCTCTCCCCACCCTTCTCAGCCTTACTTGACCCCTAGCCCTCCCCCGCCCCCAGGCCCTGGGCCTCACCCCTCCTGTTTATGCCAGGAGCGCCGGGCCCTGGAGAGGAAGGCAGCCGAGCTGGAGGAGGAGCTGAAGGTGAGCCTAAGGGGGCGCCATGGACGGGTTCTAGGCAGACCCCGGGTGACCCGGGGCCACCCAGCTGACCTCCCCATCCCATCCCCCAGGCCCTGTCCGACCTCCGGGCTGACAACCAGAGGCTCAAGGATGAGAACGCAGCCCTGATCCGCGTCATCAGCAAACTTTCTAAGTGACTCTGGCGGAGGACCTTTCCCCGTACCCGTATTTATACAGCTGCTTCTGCCACACGCACCCCTTCCCCTGTGTGAGCACGTGTGACAGGGCTCCCAGGGGGTCTCTGAGAAGCCATAGCCTCCCTTCGGGGCCTCCAGACTGGGAGGGGAGCAGAATCCCCAGGAGCCGAGGGGGGCCACCCGAGGCCAGGATGGAGGTCGGAGGCCGAGCCAGGTAGGGGGACGTGGTTGAGGGGGGCCCGGGACCGGAGGTGGGACCACGGAGGAACCGCGGACCAGGAAGTGCCAGGACCGGAGTGGCCACCCGGAGGTCCCCCCCCTCACGTGTGATGCCACCCCAGTCACCCCTCCCGCTCCTGAACAGGGATCCGAGAATGTGCCAAGAGTCCCGCCAGCCTGGGCCAGGTGGGCCTCTATATAGGGCCCGTGTGCAATAGGGAGGGATCTCTATTTTTTTGCTGCCCCCACCCCGCCCACTGTCAGGGGCAGGGGGAGAAGATATTTTCGAGACAAAGCACAGGCACCACAAATAAAAGTCGTGAAGTTGCCACTCAGTGACCGTGTCCCCGGCTCGAGGTGGGGCACCACTTCTGTGTTCCTCCCTTGTCAGTGGCCAGACCACAGGATCACGAGCGATGGGTCGGTGAGTGCTCACTGGCTGGGAAGGGGTTCCAGGAGTGGCCGGCTGGGGCAGTGGCCCCACACCAGGGCTGACCCGGTCACAAGGGAGCCTGGGAGCTTGGGTCTTACCAGCCGAGTTTTTGAAACAAATTTGAATTGCCGACATTTAAAATTGGGGGTAATTCATGAGAAGAAAAACCTACGGTTTTGACCTTTCTGGAGAAATAGGAATGTGATAGTATGAACTTTTCAGCCTTGCATGGTAACAATTGGCTGGTGCTGAGTAGGAGGATGGGGCATTCTGTCATTCTCCTTTCCGAGCCCCATCCTACCTGTTGGTGATACAGTAGTGAGTGAAATGGGAAAGGCCGGGCACAATCGAGGAGGTGAGGCATGAGGCAGGCAACAATGCAAGAAGTATCCCAGGCGGTGGTGCTGTGGAGAAGCAGGGGAAGGGCAGAGGGAGGCAGGGGTGTGTGCACAGGAGAACATATACGGGTGTGTTCTGTGCAGGCCCCATCGAAAAGCTGGCACAGGAAGATACCTGAAGGCGTCAAGGAGTGAGCCATGTAGGCATTTAAAGGAAGAGTTTTCTGGATGAAGAGGGCAGCAGGTACAAAGTCTGTGGGGTGCAAGTGTGGTCAGAGATAGTAGGACATGAGGTTGGAACCGTAACGGCCAGCCCTGGGAAGGACTTGAACTGAGGTGGGACCTAGGTTTTCACGGGTCCCTTTGGCAGCTGCGTTGACAACAGTCTGGGGGAGGGCAGTGAGGGACAGAAGGAGGGAGACCAGCTTATGGGGCTGCTGCCATAAGTGCTGGGAGGGAGGGTGGCTAGAGCTGGTGAGCCACAGTGAGACTGTGGGAGTGGCGGAGGCGACGGCAGCCTGCACGTCCTGACAGGTTGGCTGGTGTTGGGCTAGGGCTCAGGCCTGCCTCGCTCCTGACGAGGGGTTGTGTGGCCCTGGCCGGCAGGCCGTGGGTGCCGTGGGAATGTGGGGCACGCAGGTTGGGGATGCCACTCGCGTCCCCGGTTTCTGTCAGAAACCAGGGCTGGGAGAGGAGGCAGGAGGTTAGAGGACATTTACACACCCACTGGGGCCGAGGGGGTCAGGGTGAGAAGCACATAGAAGCCTGGAGGCAGGCAGAGGGGAGCTGGGAGTGTGACCAGCCCCAGGCCCGCAGCTGCCGAGCCGGAACCTGGATCTGGGGGAGGCAGGAGAGGTGTGAGGCATGAGGCAGGCAAAGTGGGGCCAGGGTCGGAGCTCCTGCCTGCCCCCACTGTGTCTGGTCTCATCTGATTTTGGAAGGCAGACTGTGGCTGAGGAAGACACTCAGCTCCAGAGGTAGAGGTGGGGGCATTCTGGGGCCACAGGAGGAGGAAAGGGACTTGTTCCTAAAGCTCGGGGGAGAACCAGTCTGAATGCGAGTGGGATGAAAGAAAACCAGTCCTGAATCAGCCTTGCTCGCTGTCTGGACGTGAGGAAGTTACTGCCGGTCAGAGGGAATAAGGGGACAGCCTCCTTTGAGGATGTCCTCTCCCAGGAGAAGGGTGACCAGGAGGCCTGTGGCATATTCAGGAGGCAGCCACTTTGTGGCTGGGTCCCTGGCACTTAGTGGGGGACAAAGTGACATGGATGCCAGGGATGGGGCAGGCTTCCCTCAAGTGGGTATTGGAGCTGGGCCAGGAAAGCTGTTCACCAAGCGGAAGATCCCTTCCAGCCCGCAGAAAGCAAGCGCAGGACCCCGGTGTTTGAGGGAGCTTGGGGGCATTTGGAGGAGGGCATGGGGGGATGAGGAGAGTGGGTAGGGATCAAACCTCAGATGCTCGGCTCTAGGGCTAAGAGGGCCGTGGGGAGTCAGGAAAGGAGATTGAGCAAGGGAAGCCTGGGATATTGGCCGTTCAGAAGGTCCCTCTGGAGTGAACTAGAGGACTGCTGGCTGAGAGGTGAGGAGAAAGCATGTCGGGTGGGGACGTGAGGGGGGGGTGGGAAGGGAGGAGAGGGATTCAGAGAAAGAAACCAGAAAAGGTGGGGACCTGCAGATTCCTTGTCCTCCTGAGGCTGTAGCGGGGGTGAGAGAGGCTCTTGGACCCCTCGTGGCCCGGTAGAGAAGGGACAGCAGTTTGAAAATGTCTGCTACAAGGAGGCTGTTTATAGACTGGGCAGCATATCCCAATGCGCGGGGACCCCGAGTATGGCCCTTCCCTCCCACTCACGGCCAGTCCGCTCACTCAGGAGGCTCCACCCGAACAGGTCTGGGGCCTTCGGGAGGGGTCTACTGCCATGGGTGGCAGCAGTCTGCAGAGTCTGTTCTGCCACGGGGCTTCCTCGAAAAACTGAGCAGAGGAGCCGGGAAGGGTCAGATAACCTCAGTTTCCATGTCGCCTTCCACCTTCTTCTTTTGCTTCTCCATCACCGCCTCCAACTCTGACACTTTCTCTTTGTCCTGGAGGGCGGGGTGGAAATCAGACACCTGGTCTCCGAGCCCTGGGTGCCCTCCCGGGTCGGCCCGGCCCGGGAGCGTCCGCTCACCTCCAGCAGCGCACGCTGCACGGTGACCTGGCTGTACACGCGCGCCCCTTCCTCCGGGCTCACGGCTCGCAGCTCCTCCTTTTGCAGTGAGAAAAGCTGCGCGCCGGTCAGCACGCCCAGCGCGTCCACGGTCCTGGGCGAGCGGAGGGGGAGCGGTCAGGGCCCGCCAGCCAATCACAGCGCCAAGCCCTTCAGCCCCCGCCAATCACGTCACTTCTGTCCTGCCGTTTGTCCAATCGGAACAGCATTCTTGCTGAGAAGGCTCCCGCCCCCCAGTCACAGTGCGCTGTGGGAGGGGGAGGGGGCGGGGCGCGTGTGCCCAGCTTTCCCGCGGAGGCAGGCGCGCCCGGAGACCCCAATCCAAGCCCGCAGTAACGTGCCAGTCACACTGCCGTTCACTGCCACCAGAGCGACCCTCGCTTTAGGCCACTCCCAAGGCTCCCCCTCTTGCGACCACGCTTCCGGCTCCCCGGCCGACCCCAGTCACTCACCCAGCGCTAAATCCCTTGGCCTGCAGCCAGGCGCGGACCTCCGAGGCGTCCGAGTGCGGACTGAGCTGCGGCTCCGGGACGCGGGGACCCGGGGCTGCGCGGCTGGGGCCTGAGCGGCCCTGGGCCAAGCGCGCCTGCAGCTCTTCGTTGACACACAGCATCTGGGAGAATTTCTCTGCAGGCGGGGAAACCGGGAGAGACGGCAGACTCAGGACGAAGGGTCCTGGGGCCAGAAGGGAGACCTCCAGCGTCCTCATGATGGGCTCGGAGTCCACTTGGTCTTTCCGAACCTTGGTTCCCCTGACTGGAAAGCGAGGACAAGGACGGCTCCCCGAAGGTGCCTGCACCACTCACCCTTCTCTAGGGGGTCCAAGTTGAGGCTATCACAGCTGTCCCAGGTGGGGCGAGAGGAGGCAGGAGCCGGGGCCCGTGGGGGAGGAGGAGTGCTATTCTCCTGGAGAGGGAGCCAGAGGAGCACTTGGATCAAAGAGAGGACCTAGCCCCAACTCCTCCGCCTTTTGGAGGTAAATTTCTGCATCCCCCCGCCCCCACCCCCACCTCCAGCTACTTCCTCTGTCACTGCCCTTGACACCTGATCGTCCCCAAGAATCTCCCCAGACTCACCAGGCTGCGGCTTGCCCGAGGCCCCGGGTGGGGTGTCAGGATATTATACGGTACATATCCCTCCTGCCCTCGCTGGTCCCGAACCTTCCACCACTTACGCTGGTCATCCAGGACCTGAGGGGGGTAGGAGAGGATGGTTCACAGCCTGTGTCTGCAGCTACAGCTGGGCCCCCTGCCGTCCCTTGGCCCCACCCCTCTAACCTCCAACACATCCCGCTGCTGGACAGAGAGCTCACTGCTGTTGCGGGCCTGGAAGTCATAGTTACATAGGACCCACTTTCCCTCAGGCTCCAGCTGGGACTCAGCCTCTGGCTCAGGGTCTTGGTGACTGTGGAGAACAACACAGGTTGGGGATAAGGGGGCAGCCAGTCTCCCTGCGCTGGGCAGTAGGGAGTTGGTGTGAGCTGGGGTTAGAGCCAAGCAGAGGTCAACGCAGGGGGCCAGGTTAATACTGTTAATAGAGATTTGAAATCGGAGTAACAACTTGAATGCAGTTCGCTCCTTATGTGCCCGGCCACCGTGCTGCCGCACAAACTACAGGCAGTGAGGTCACCTCCCTTTTACAGATGAGGACATCCAAGACTCGGGGAGAAAGTCACTTGCCCCAGATCACACAGCTAGAGCCAGCTGTTTACTAAGCACCTATACGTAATGGGCTCATGCTTCGGGTAGCCCATAGTTAGGATACAAACAGTGGTTATATAGCACTGACTAGGTGCCAGACTGCTCAATCTCTTACACAGATTGGCTAATCTGATTTTTAACACAACCCTTGGTGTAACCACGAATTTGGAACCCCTCTCCCCCACTGCAGACCCTGTCATCAGCTATTTTACAGGTGAGGAAGTCGGAGAACAGGGACACGAGGTGGCACGATGAGGTAAAGGTCACAGAGCAAGAAAGAGGCGTTGCCACCCTGGCCCCGCAGTCCATGCCCTGAGTAATTCTGGTCTCCTGGGCACGTAGCTGGATATGAACCTGAGCTCTACCAGGGCCTTGAGCTCTTAACTGCTAGCCTGTATAGCCTCATAGACTTCTCTCTTCCAGGAAGGGATTATTCTTCTCATTCTCCCTGCAAAGGGAGGCTCAGAGAAGGGAAGGTGAAAGCTGGGGGTGTCAAGCCCAAGAGTCAGAAGCAGGGGGGAGTTCTGCAAGACCAGGCAGCCGGGGTGGCAGGGAGCAAGATTTGGGCTCCGATGCCCC